ATAGTACAATATAGTAATATTTAATACTGATATTGCACTATGCTAATAATATAATATACTATATGTATATATATCTTGTAAGCCACTCTGAGTCCCCTTCGGGGTGAGAAGGGCAGCATATAAATGTCATAAATAAATAAGACTATTTCATCAGCCAAAAGCAGACCATACTTCCCACTGAATACTGGTAAGTTTGTGTTAGTTAAATGCTAATCAATGTGGCCAATGGCAACATTCACACTTGCCTAAAGCAGACAAGAGTTCTTTCTCCCACCATGGAAATTATTCCATACTTATATAAACCCCACTTGCTTAGTTTCCAACAGACCTCACAACCTCTGAGGATGCCTGCCATAGATGTGGGTGAAACGTCAGGAGAGAATGCTTCCGGAACATGGCCATACAGCCCGGAAAACTCACAGCAACCCATTAGTTAAAATTGTTCTTCTGGCATTTCTTGCTCTATATTTGGTAAATGTATTTGTTATAGAATGTTGGGCATCGCTTTGCTTGTAATGTCTTTTTATGTCATTTTTTGCACTACAAATAAGGTATGTGCAGTGTGCATAATGATTTGTTAATGTTTTTTTAATGATAGTTCATACACCCAACAGCCTGAGGCCCTCAGCTTTAAAAAATGGCTTTTAAAGTTTGAGGACCCCTGCCTTCAGATACGCATAAATCTTCTAAGATCACTATAACTTCTAAGATCACTATAATCTGAATCATATTCAATAGTGGTTATTCTTCCTCTATTTTTAATAATAATAACTATTTTTAATAATAATAATAATAATAATAATAATAATAATAATTTATTTGTAGCGTGCCCTATCTCCACTAGAGGAATTATAATAATCAGATAATAATCCATTATTATGTATGTATTTCTCTGAGCAAATGTACCCCAACACAAGATGAGGGTTTCTTTCGCTGTTTGTCCATAGAAAGCCATTTCAAAAGGTCATTTTAATTTATTCAGGCATCTGCCTCAGAAACTGGTTTCATTACAGACTTCAAGAAATCCATTTTAAATAGCTGCTCAAATATTTGTCTTGCGAAAGGTCAGAATGGTATTTAGCCTTGTAGTCGTTGCAGCTGTATACAAAGTAGAGGGGATGGTGCATGTTGATTTGCAATAAAATAATCTGGGGTAAACAAAGCAATACTCCGCCAAGATTTGGAGACCTCGGTTCTCAAAATGTTCTTAGAATGATGGGGGATTGCAAGCATATGAAAGACAGGGAAAGGATCTCATTGATGGGGCTTGGGGCAATTGCCAAGAAGACTATTTCATTGTTTTAGACCAAGCAAGGACTAACTTGGACCCTCCAGGTGTTTTGGACTTCAACTCCCACTATTCCTAACAGTCTCAGGCCCTTTCCTCAGGAAAGGGCCTGAGGCTGTTAGGAATAGTGGAAGTTGAAGTCCAAAACACTCGGAGGGCCAAAGTTCACCCATGTCTGGTCTAAAACGATGGATAAACTTCAGCACACAAAAGTAAATGCTGACTAGGCAGGGCCAAAGCCGACTTAGTTGCATAGCCCCTCCTTCCCCACTCCAACTATCCAATGACTAGCATAGGGCTCTTCTCGAGGAAATTCTACACTTTCAAATAAAGGAGAAGGAGTGTAATAGGATCAAGACTCCTCTGGAGTGTAATAGGATCAAGACGCAAGAGGACTCTTGCTAGTGGTGAGCACAAACATTCATTTCCCTGTGATCCACAGGATTGCAAAAGGGCATGCATGGTGCAGCATGATCAATCAGCTTCTGAACCGCTGGCAGACAAACTCTATGGAAAGTGTGTGCTTTTGAATGCAATGGAAATTCCTAGGCATTTCTCCTGGCATGGGAACTCATGCTTCCCACCAGTTCACCTGCACTAGAGAGAGAGACCAGAGTGCACCCCATCCCAGCATGACAATACGCTGGCAAATAACTCGCCCCCTTCCCCAACCACACACAACTGAAAGCAGCTCTTATTCATCAGGTTGTAATCATACAGTTCACACTTTAGCATCTGCCTTTGTCGCTCTGTCAAAGCGGTTGGTGAGAACGGGTAGAGAACTAGCCACAGAAAGAGAGCAAGGAAAGGGATGTTGTTGGATGCACACACTGTGCCTGGCGTTGGTGATGGGAAGTCTCCGATTCTTTCTGAACCCTCATTTAACAATCAAGGTCCTTGATGGGGAAACTAGGCAGAGGCGCGGAATCAATCGCACAGCTTGTCTGGGTGCAATCCCTGTTGCTGGCAACCTGAATGAGCAGGGCGCGAACCAAAGCTGAAACGTACAATGGTCCTCATTTTCCCCCCTCTCGCGCTCCCTTTTTACATGCCTGATTTAGCCCTAGCTGGCAGATTTATGGGCCCATTTCTTTTGACAGCTTAACTCCGTCCCTCTGTGTGTGTGTGTGCGTGTGTGTGTGTGTAAGAGAGAGAGACTGTCTATACACACACACACACACACACACAGGCATCCAGAAGTTAACTCTCCCTTGCCTGGCAGAACTGAACTGCAGATTCATCCCCAGGCAGTGAAAGGTGAAAATTAGTCCAGAGGCTGGGATAGGATTACACAGCAAGGGAGGGAGAGAGAGACTGCAGGGGACAGGATGCCAAAGGCTATCCTGGGACTGTTTAGAGAGAGGCAGCTCTAAAAAAAACAAAAATACAAAGCCCATTGTGTTGTTGAAGGCCTTCATGGCTGGAATCACTGGGTTGCTGTGAGTTTTCCTGGCTGTCTAGCCATGTCTAGCATTCTCTCCTGATGTTTTGCCTACATCTATGGCCGGCATCCTCAGAAGTTGAGAGGTCTGTTGGAAATTAGGCAAGCGGGGTTTATATATCTGTGGAATAATGTCCAGGGTGGGAGAAAGAACTCTTGTCTGTTGGAGGAAAGTGAAAATGTTGCAATTGGCCACCTTGATTAGCACTGAATAGCTTTGCAGATTCAAAGCCTGGCTGCTTCCTGCAAGGGAGAGCCTTTGTTGGGAGGTGTTAGCTGGCCTTGATTGTTTCCTGCCTGGAATTCCTCTGCTTTCCCCTGGAAGCAACTAGGCTTTGAAGCTGCAAGACTATTCAGTGCTAATCAAGGTGGCCAATGGCAACATTCACACTTGCACCAAGCAGACAAGAGTCCTTTCTCCTACCCTGGACATTATTCCACAAATATATAGAATCCTAGAGTTGGAAGAGACCTCGTGGGCCATCCAGTCTAACCTCCTGCCAAGAAGTGGGAAAATCGCATTCAAAGCACCCCCAACAGATGGCTATCAAACCATATAAATCTAATTTCCTTAGTTTCCAACAGACCTCACAAGGTGGCCAATGGCAACATTCACCCTTGCCTCAAGCAAACAGGAGTTCTTTCTCTCATCTTGGACATTATTCCACAGATATATAAATCCCACTTGACTAGTTTCCAACAAACCTCACAGTCTCTGAGGATGCCTGCCACAGATTTGGGCAAAACGTCAGGAGAGAATGCTTCTGGAACATGGTCAAACAAGCCAGAAAACTCACAGCAGCCCAGTGATCCCGTCCATGATTAACTAGGAGAGAGACCTTTGAGAGAATCAAGAATTTACATTGATCAGTGAGTGAGTATGCAGTTCTGTTTTGTAAAGTGCTTGGGAGTTGTGTGCCTTCTTGTACACAGTAGAAAACCTCTGCAGGGAGCCATAATTAGCCCATGTTAAATCGTGATTGTGTATCTGCTTCTACTGTAGAGAAATAACCACACATGAAGCTGAATTTGTTTGTAAGTCGGAACAGGTTCATACAAGGGTAACTCCAGCTCATGCTCTCTCTCTCTCTCTCTCTCTATATATATATACACACACATACACACATATACATATATGTGTGTGTGTGTATGGTAAAATCAGGACAGTAAATAACACTCAGAAACCAGGGGAATCCCAGACAAGAAACAATCAGGGCCAGCTAACACCCTGGACCTTCAATTGATATATAAACCCCACTTGCCTAGTTTTCAACAAACCTCACAACCTCAGAGGATGCCTGCCATGGATGAAACATCAGGAGAGAATGCTTCTGGAACATGGCTAGACAGCCCTGAAAACTCACAGCAACCCAGTGATTCCACCCATGAAAGCCTTCGACAATACCTTTTTGAAACTCTTTCCAGCTTTTGTGCCAACCTGACTCTAGGGAGACTTGCCTGAGGCCCCTTCCAGACAGCTGTATAAAATCCCATATCATCTGGGTTATATGGCAGTGTGGACTCGGGCCCCTTCCACACACAGGTATGTAACCCAGAATCTCAAGGCAGAAACAATCAGGGCCAGCTAACGCCCAGGACCTTGCACTGATACATAAACTCCACTTGCCTAGTTTCCACCAAACCTCACAATCACAGAGGATGCCTGCTTTGACCTGGGTTATATGGCAGTGTGGACTCAGCCATATAACACAAAATTCCAAGGCAGAAACAATCAGGGCCAGCTAACACCCAGGACCTTGCACTGATATATAAACTCCAGTTGCCTAGTTTCCACCAAACCTCACACTCTCAGAGGATGCCTGCTTTGACCTGGGTTATATGGCAGTGTGGACTCAGCCATATAACACAAAATCCCAAGGCAGAAACAATCAGGGCCAGCTAGCACCCAGAAACCAATCAGGGCTAGCTAACACCCTGAACCTTCCACTGATACATAAACCTCACTTGCCTGTTTCCAACAAACCTCACAACCTCTGATGTGGATGAAACTTCAGGAGGGAATGCTTCTGGAACATGGCCAGACAGCCCGGAAAACTCACAGCAACACAAAGGGAGAGGGAAGGAGGGAAAGAGAAAGAGAGAGAGAGGCTGCAGTGATAGGGCTGTCTCTCTGCTGTAAAGCCAGGGCTGTGCCTGTCTCACTCTTCTTCCCTTGAGCTGGAGGCGTCTTTTCTGCATGGCGAGACCGCAGACCAAACACCCCTGTAAAAGACACCCCCCCCCCAAATGGGAGTCCCCAGGCAGGCCTACCTTGTGCCAGAGCTTGCAACATGTGGAGCTGAAGCAGGAGGAACGCCCCCCATCCCCGCCAGAAGCAGCCGCCGAAGTTTAACTTTCTTCTCGCCCGGCCTGGCAAGCCATTCCTATTCCTCCTCTTCCTCCTCCTCCTCCTCTTCCTCGGCGGCGTGACTTCTTCGTCCCCTCTTTCCTCCCCTGCGAAGCCCTCCGAGGGGGCCCCCATCTCCCCAACTTCTCCGGGCATGGCTGCCTTGCAACCGCCGCCCCGAGCCTTGCAAGGACGGGCTGCACCAAAACAAGCAGGCAGAAATGGGAAACACATGTTTCCTTTGGACTCCAGTTGCCTTCCCAATAGAGAGCGAAGAGAAGGAGGAGTGGGAAGAGGGATTGGGGAGAATAGCGCCTGTTTGTGTCAAGTTTCCAGGCGTCAGTCTTGCAACCGATCGGAGTTCTTCATCCTCGAAGAAGGAGAGAAAAAAACCCAACGCGTGTGTGGACTTAAAAGGACGCCGAAGGAGATGCCATCTCGGCGAGGCAGTGGCAGTCAATCAGAGGAGCACCTTCCTTCCTTCCTTCTTTCCTCCCATACCGCAAAGATGACGGAAACTGGTCCCCTTGGGGAGGAAACCGAGGGAAGAAGGCTCCTGCCTTCATCCTCCTCCAAGCACAAGTTCTCAACCCTCCAGCTCGAGGCAAAGCAGGGAGCCAGGCGAGACTCTTGGGACTCGATCCGGAGCCAGAAGGGGATTTAAATCCGATTTCCCTTCTCCTCCTTCGGCTTCAACGGCGGGGAAGATCCATAGCCAGCAGGTAAAGAGAGGGAGCCAGTTCCTGCAAGCCGCCGCTGCTTCTGCTGCTGCTCTCTGCCTGCTTTGCAGTTGCAACCAGTTGAGGAAAGAAGGAAGGGATGGGTCTCTCTCTCTCTCTCGAACTCTCTCTCTCCAATGAAGGTGGAGAGAGAAACCTGATCAGATCTCCCTCCCCAGAGGAAGGCGAGGGGAAGAGAGGGGAAAGCCGGAGCTCCCCTCCGCCAGCAGCGTGTCCCCAGCAGCTCCACGCAGGCGAGGTTTCTGGGTCAACGGCTCAGACGAGCCAAAGAAGACCCGGGGACCCAAGCCGGAGGAAAGAACTACTGGAAGGGAGGGAGGGAGGGAAGGAGGGGGCTGGCGCCGGAGACGCAGCAGCAGCAGCAACAAGGTGAAAGCGTCTCTTTCTCAAGCTGGACTCCGGGTTTTGCGCCGCTTGTTTCTCTCACGCGGAAGCTGTAAACAGGAGGAAAGCAGAGGGAGGGAAGCAATGTCACCAGCCGCACAAACGACGTAGAGATCACAATCCCAGCATCGTCAGTGGTCACCTCGCCATCCAACTCTCACTGAGCCCAATGAGGAGGGGTTTCCCTCCATCCTGGTTTGAAATGAGATATGCCACCAACCTTCAATAGTAGTGATACATTTTTTAAAAACTGGGTTGTTGTAAGTTTTCCGGGCTGTCTGGCCAGCATTCTCTCCTGACGTTTCGCCTTCATCTAGGGCAGGCATCCTCAGAGGTTGTGAGGTCTGTTGGAAGCAAGGCAAGTGGATTGTTTTAGGTTTTTCGGGCTATAGGGCCATGTTCTAGAAGCATTGTCTCCTGACGTTTCTCCTGCATCTATGGCATGCAACCTCTTAGCATGCTTGCCATAGATGCAGGCGAAAGGTCAGGAGAGAATGCTTCTAAAACATGGCCCTATAGCCCGAAAAATCTAAAACAACCCAGTGATTCCAGCCATGAAAGCCTTTGACAATACAAAGCAAGTAGTGTTTGTATATCTGTGGAATAATATCCAGGGTAGGAGAAAGGACTCTTGTCTGCTTGGGGCATGTGTAAATATTGCTATTGGCCACCTTGATCAGCATTGAATAGTCCGGGTTGGACTGGATGGCCCATGAGGTCTCTTCCCATTCTATGATTTTATATATCTGTGGAATAATGTCCAGGGTAGAAGAACTGTCTGTTTGAGGCAAGTGTGAATGTTGCCATTGGCACCTTTATTAGCGGTTAATGGCCTTGCAGCTTCAATGCCTGGTTGCTTCGGGGGGGGGGGGGGGGGGGGGGGGTGAAACAGAGGAATTCCAAGCAGGAAACAATCGGGGCCAGGTAACACCTCCCAACAAAGGCTCTCCCAGGCAGGAAGCAACCAGGCACTGAAGCTGCTAGGCCATTAAATGCTAATAAAGGTAACCAATTGCAACATTCACACTTGCCTTGAACAGACAAGAGTTCCTTCTCCCACCCTGGACATCATTCCACAGATATATAAACCCCACCTGCCTAGTTTACAACAGACCTCACAACCTCTGAGGATGCCTGTCATAGATATGTGTGAAACGTCAGGAGAGAATGCTTCTGGAACATGGCCATACAGCCCGGGGAAACTCACAGCAACCCAGTGATTCCAGCCATGAAAGCCTTAGACAATACATTTTTTGAAACTCCAGCTTTTGTGCCAACCTGACTCCTCACCATCCTGGTTTGAAATGGGATCTGCCATCTTCAATAGTAGTGAGTGATACATTTTTAAAATGATTTTTATTAGAATATTAGAAAGTTACATCAAAAGAGGGGGAATATTTAAAAGAAGATAGAAAAGTAGGGAAAAAAGAAGTAAAAAAAAGAAAGAAAAGGGTTATCATCTACATCCCACCAACCAGGCATGTAGCCGGGGGGGGGGGGGGGGGCCTCGGGGGGCTTCAGACCCCCCCCCCAAAAAATCAAGCTGCTGTGAAAGAAGAAAAAAAGGAATGATGGGGGGCAGGTTTGAAACCGTGTTAGGTGGATGAATACTAATGAGAGGATAAAAAAGTAATCAAAGAGAACAATATGATTGAGAATTAGGGGGGCTTGGGAGTGGTTGGCAATTGAGAAACAAAAGTGCGGGAGGAGGGCCTGACTAAGCAACCGATAGAAATAAGGTACTGAAGAAACAAAACGAAAAAGAAAGAACAACCCACCACAGAACAAATGACCAAAATACATAGATCCATGAGAGAGAAAATAAAAGGCAAGGCAAACACTACAGCAAATCCACCACACAACGGTAACGAAACGAAAATAGAGGGGCATGCCAAGTAATACGAGGCAAGAGCATAACAAACACGCTGAGAAAAAAAAAGTACTCAAGAAAAAAAAAAAACACACAAGAAAAAAATTTGGAAGACAATTTAATGCAAAAATATGTTGGGAGTATAAAGAAATGACATAGTGGATGAAAAAAAAACATACAGAATAAACAATTTCAGAGGATTCGAGGTTAAGGTACTTGACTATTACTGATGAACAAAGTAAAGACGCTCAAAGCGGTTATGAGGGGATACCTTATTCAGCAGAATGCAATTAAGAACAGAAAGAAAAATAGGTGGTCCCGAGGCAGGGCGCCAAGTTAGTGCGAGGATGCGCTCGAAGTGTCAGAACAGACAGGTCTAGGTCACATCAGGCTGAGAGTGTAGGGCGAAAGTGTTCTAAATAAATTAGTGACTTTCTAACCTGCTTCACAGGGCTGTTGTGATAGAAAATGATATATAAACCCATAAGTGTCTTTTGTACTTGTGGAGGAAAGTATAAAAAAATCATCATGCCAAGGGGTATTCATGTACCTTGCGGTGCCACAATTCTCAAAGCCTTCCTTGTTCCTTTGTATTGTACCTAGCTGGCAGATCCCAGGAGTGGCTAAGTAATTTGCTCAGGGTACATGTTATACAAGGCCACAGGGAGTGTAATTCTAGCTGCCTCTGCACCAGCTAGCATTTCTCGACATTATATATTTCTGAGCAGGCCATATACGTCTGCTATTATTAGCCCCACAATGCAGCAATCTCCCAAATACTCCAAGAAGTGGAAAAGAAACCCACGGTCATCAAAATGTTAATTTGGACAATGATGAAGAGTACAAAGAGTACAGGCATTAAAAATGCATCAGTCCCTATCATTAAGGCAATATTCAGCCAATACTTTAAAAAAAGAAAATACACTAGCTAACCAAATTAAACAAAAAGACCATAGAAAGAAACAAGTTGAAAGAGATGGGTTTGCCTAAGGTTACATACACTGATAACCAAAAGATTGCTTAGCCCCCCAAAAAATCTATAATGGTTACAAAATAAAACAGACAATCCCTATCTGTTGGTGTTGCTCATTAAGGAAATGGAAGCTCAGAATCATGCCCTGGTTTCCAAGACATTGTCTACTACGGTC